ATATGAAGATCCAACAAAGAGAAAGTGATAATCTATCACTTCGCTCTAAGCTCACTCACACTTATTAAGCTCTTAGATAAGTTCATTCAAAGATATACTTTTAGAGCTTAATCTTAGTTGGGAGGTTAGAATTACTTTGTAATAGACAAAATGTAAATCTTTAGAAGGTATCTAAAGTGTTGATAGAATAAGACTGAGTAACTTCAGAATTGGTTGGGTTCATTAGTGAAACGCCTAAGGAAAGAGTAACTTGGAGTGGTATTGTACTCCTTGTGAAAACCTGACGATCTAGGCCTGTGATCAAGGCTAGATTGGGCACTAAGTGTATTAGGATAAATAACCTAGTGGAAATCCATATGAAAGAGGGTGAGATTGGGTGTAAGAGTATTACACCACTCTGAACCATGATAACTCACCGTTTCATTTACTTTCCAAGTTCACATAAACACACACTCATTTTCTCTCGTCCTACAAATCTTATTTTTCAACAAACAACTTTCTCAAAGACATCTAAACTACATTAATACAAACTCAGTTTGTATACCCAATTAAGGTGAATTCAAGTTTGTCAAAAGTGTTCTCATCAAAGCAAACTAATTCATACTAAGTTTCTTACACCCCTTTTAAACTCCATCTATATCTTTTTTAATTTCACTATTACAAATAACAAAGAATTCAAGTTCTTTACTTAGCAGCTGCCTCAAATTTACATCAGGAGCAGCCTATTGCTCATCTCACTACTAATATGTCGTCCAGTTAACTCTATGCCTTTTGTGATAACCGTTGTTACCTCCAAATTTCTACAAATGTTGTAAGAACTCTTACCAGTCCAACTTCACAAAAAGATCCTTGAAACAACCCTTGGTTAACTTACTATAAATGGAAAGTCATTTTTTCTATAACTGGGAAATGTGTAAACCAACTGTTTTAAAGAGGTCAAGACTTCCGTTGTGTGTTCTATAACCTTTCAAAAGGGTTAGAATCAAACTCTTAAAGAGGGAAAAGCTTTATAAACCTACAAGTTTTAAAAGTCTATTCAACCCCTCTCTAGACGTTTACCTCATCAGGGACCATCAAGTGTATCAGAGCGATTGTTCATAGATAGAGTCAGTTTCCACTAATTAGTTTGAATCAAAGATCACCAAGAACTCCCTACACACTTTTGTTTCAAGATGCACAATTCATTGGCCAAAACTCATATAGTAAATCTTAACAAGTTTGATGATTGGAAGATCCAAATGCTAGCACAGCTCACTGCCTTGCATGATGAAATGCTAGAAATCCTTACAACTGGACAAATAGATATCATGAAAGTAAGAGCCTAGAAAATGAATGAACCACACCCATAAGGAGATGAGTACATTCGCAAACCCAAAGCGGAATGGACAAGTGATGATAGGAAGAGAAATAACTTGGATAACATTGTCAAGGATATTCTTTTCAAATTTGTAGATGATTGCATATCTCCAAGAATCAGGAATGTGTCATTGGCAAGCTGGTCTCGGAATGTATCTCCTTTTAAGGGAGCTTATCAGTTAAGAACTCCAAAGTTAAGCGTGCTTGCACGGGAGTAGTCTTGGGATGGGTGACCCTCTGGGAAGTTTCTCAGGGCGCGCACGAGTGAGCACTAAGTGCATGGAAAAGGCTCGTGGTGGTTTGTGAGGACAGTACTAGAGGCCAAGAGTAAATACCTCGGGTCCTGTGGCCTGCGGGGCCGGGGTGTTAAATAAAATGAGCAACAACAAACTCTCCTACCTTGCTACTGATGAAATCCAACATAACTGGAACCCAACTGGATTAGGCTTCAAACCTTTATCCCAACAACCGAAAGACTCCAAATCTAGTAGCCAACCAAAGAATAGATAGAAAGTCAACCCAAAGAACCCCAAACCAGAGCATTACCGAAGTTCACCATCCAACAGAAAAGGAACCCAACTAGTTCCCACAAAAAATCCAAAATCTTGTACAAACGAACCTCAGCTTACCAAAGATCTAACAACAATCCTCTTGGTTAACGATTCCTTGAACCAGCATGAAAAAATATCCCATTACAAACCATGATCCCCAAAACATATACACCAAAAGGAGCATGAACCAATACATAGCCATACCATACGATTATCACACCTACAATGGCTATAGATCAATTTTTCTAGGATTAAATAGTTCAAGATGGACATGGATAAGATGCATAAGTTGGTTCATAGGAAGTAGGGATGGCAACGAGGCAGATGGGGGACGGGTACACATAAATCTGAAACTGCCCCGTTGGATAAATGTTTTCCCCAAAACTACCCCATTGCCCGTTCGAATAATTTTTATTTGAACCGTACCCACCCCAATGGGGAATCGTTTTATCCACAGGTAACCGTTTGCCCAAATGATACCAAATGTAAGGAATATATTGTTCTAGATTTTGATGATGCTAGAATAATTAGGATATTAAAGTACCCCTTAGAAAATTGTAATAGCAATTTTTTTGTATGTACTAAGGGTATTCGACGGACAGAACTACCTAGGTCTTCTGTTTGCCTATTGGACAGCAGTTGAGCAACTCAAGCAGAACTCCTTAGCGTATTGTGCTCTAACAGAACTGCTCCAAGAACTGCTGACACTTAGAAGATTCTGAGGAATGTCGTTAAACTAACGGGTTATTCCCTAACGGTTAGGAGCCTCTCAATGGAAGTGATACTATTCATCGCATTAAATGCTCATTTATTGGCTTCCACACGTTGAGATATTTAAAGCACATGATTGACCAAGAATCCAGGAGAATAATATTTAATTCTTCCCAAGATAGTAAGCCGACTACTTTGCGAAGAACCAACCGGTCAAATCAAAAGTGCATGCATTTAATGAAGATGTCCATTACACTCCAACAGGAAGACAACTTTCAGTATATATGGAACACTTCGAAGGGTTGACAAATAGAACTTCTTTCTACAAACTCTACAATTTGAATTCAAGCTATCAAACTCTCTTGAGACCTCATCTTCCACATTCTCCACAAGAGATCTGTTGAGGTTTAATCTCGTAGATCTGAAAGCCCAACACAGACTTTGGATATATCAGGAAATGGACAATAATTCGGTATGTAAAAGAAATATAAAAGATCGATAATCGAATGCTCAAAAGCCCACTTGTATTAATTGACCTGTTTGATTACAAGGAAATTACCCGAACGGTACGTCGGATTGATGCTTAATACAAGAAACAAAAGTAATAAGGCTATTCTAGGGCTTGAGTATTAAAATGCTAACCCTTACAATGATATTTAAACCTTCTATTTATACCAATGGAGAGTATGGGACGCTTTATGCTGATTGGCCGATGTTCCACCGACCTGATCACTCATGCCTCCACTTGCTGATGTCGCCATCTGGCATTAATTGCACATGGCCACCTGCTGGTTGTCCGTTTCCCGAACGGGATAATGGACCCTGTAAAACATTGTTAATTTGGCCCAAGTACGATGTATGACCCGAACCCTGTTCGGTATGTCTGTTCTCTGGGCCAGCCTTTGCTTGGCCTGAACCTCGTTCGGTATGAATATCTCACTGGGCCTACTTATCATAGGGTAGTGGACTCGTTGTTTGGGCTGGATATCCTGGGACTTTAATTCGGGTATTGGGCCTCCGGGCCAATATCCTAACACGAGTCCCCCACTTCCGATGTCTCGAATGACAGTGAGTGAATTAGGAAGTATAAGTGCCATGATATAAATGCCGAATGGCGATCGAGGTACAGAAGTGGTCAGTTCCCCATACTGTGATTTGACGGCTGTCGTTTGAGTTTTTCCATATTTGTCATGATTGTTGATCTTTGCTCTTCCATGTGACACGTGTTATTTCAAATAGTTCCAGTGACGTGTCTCTATTTGACTGGTCTTTGATACGGCGTTTGTAAAGCTATAAATTAGCCTTTAGCTCCTCAAATACGGGTTTCGAATTTTCAATCTCTTCGTGCTTTAGCTCTGCCTTTTCTCTCAATCCCTTCAAGCTTTTTGTGTCCAGGTACTTCTCATCCCTTTAAATCTCTCTTTTCTTTGATCCGATCGTTATGAGTTCTCGACTGTGTTCCGATTCAGAAATGGCTTCCCAAGGGGAAGACCATGATGTGGAGATTATCATCGTTCCTTTGTTGAGGGCTCCAATGCGGCGACGACGGAGATTAGGGCGGAGACGGAGGATTCCTCCGGCAGTTCTTCTTCCTCCAGTGAAGATTCCGATGACACCAAGTCTGATGATGAACTGGCTTCCATGGCGGCCGGACGTCCCAATGATTTCCCTCGTCACACGCTTGACCTAAGATTGATTAGGGAGAGGCGACAAAAACTGACTTCTCACAACAGGGCCGAAATTCCGGCCCTAATTGCAGACCCAGTGGACTTCCGATTGCGAGCTGGGCTTCACCCAATGCACCATACCCCTGGGATGGTTGTAGTCCACTTTGATTCAGTTAGGGTCGGACTTAGGTTTCCATTGCATTCCTTTTTCGTTTCATTTTTTAATTTTTACGAAATTGTACCGACCCAAGTCATGCCGAACTCCTATCGAGCAATGGCGGGCTTTATTTGCCGTTGTAAAGATGTCAGTGCCCCGCCGACCCTAGACTTATTTCACCAATTTTTTAAAGTGCCCCCAACAAACACATGGATATCTGGCTACTAGTGCCCGAACGGGACATATCCTGTTTAAGGGCAATCCGACTTCAATCAAGGGGTGGAAAGATCGGTTCTTCTTTGTGTCTGTCCCGGACGGCCTGATCCCCCGCAAATGGAATGCCTGCCCTCGCAAATCTCCCGATCCAGTCCTTAGTGAGGAAATTTACAAGGATATGCTCGTTGTGGAGAAGGACAAATGTTGTGATATCATGAGTTACTTGACTCCCGATCGGCTTATCGAAGCCGGGATAGGTACTGCCCGTTCTCTTGGGTTTACTTGTTTTGAGAATCAAGTGCCATGGTCCGGGCGGTCCTTCCCATGCGAGAAACGTTCTCTTCTTTTTTGTTTCCCACGTGATAAGGCCGCTCGGTACTAACATTTTCCTTTGTTATTTTTTAGCTCCCAATCGAGATGCACCAATGGACAATAGCCGTGTTCTAGCAGCCGGTGGGGTCGGGAAACGGAAGAAAGCAAGGAAGAATCCCCAACCCAATCCTTCCACCACCATTGCTCAGGATGCCAGGTCTTTTCAACCTGTTCAGGAGCCACAACCGCTTCAACAGGTCCCTCATCAGGATCAATTTGACGCCATGCTGATCGACGATCAGTTCGGATCCGATCAGCTGCATCAATTCCCTGAGCATTTCCAGGCTGCTCAGGAGACTAACATGACTGCAGGTGAGACCAACACTGTCCACCTTTCTACGCAGGTCGAATGGATCTCTCTGGCAGATCCAGTTCATGAAATGTTGAGGAAGGCTGGTTCTCCTGCAAGCCAGATTTGGTCCACTTCTTCGTGGTTCAACAACTTTTCCGTCCCTAAGATGCCGGTCGAGCAATCCGAAGAATGCTTGGCTTTGGCAGCTCTGAAGGTATCTCACTTTTTCCTTATAGTTTTCTCATAGTTTAAATTCTGTTCTTCACCATCTTATTTCTCGAACGACATTCTGCAGGTTGGGCTCTACAACCTGCAGCTGAGGGAGGCTCGAATGACTAAAGAGCGGGACCTGATCGTCGCTCAGACTTCTGCGGAGCAGAATGCGGCTGCTGCCTTTGCCGCTTTGGAGACCGAACGGAAGGCCTCCGTGGAGGAGAAGAAACGCCTCGAGTTAGAGCTTGGTGAGCTCAGGGTCCAGCTCGGGGCCTTCCAAGCCAAAGTCCACGCTGCTGAAGCTGCTTTGGTGAAGTTCGAAGAGAGCGCTCCCCGTATCCCGGACGGCCCTGCTGAGGTGAAGGTTGATCTGTCCGCCGTCCGGGAGGCATTCAAAGGGTCTGAGGAGTTTGCTGCCCTGAAGAAAGATTATGCGCAGCAGGAACTCACGACCACCTTCGGTGCTTATCTCGATCGATTCTCCACGGGTGATGCCCGCCGCAACGAGGGGGTTAAGCTGCTCGACCAGGATCCAAGGGGCAAGAAATTCAATGACTCCCTGGCCCGATCTCTTTATGTTATGGGCTGCCAGCATATCCTGGCCCCCTTTGTGGCTAAGCTGCAAGAGATGCTAGGGAGGCCGATCGAGCTTACCGATCTTCCCCAGGTGCCCATCATTGAAGCCCAATTTGAGAAATATCAAAGGGACTTACAACGGGTTGCTGATAGTGAAGTGGGGAGAGAGCCTGATCCCCCCACTGATTCGGATGAGGAGGAAGGTGATGAAGAAGAGTAGAGACGGCCAGTAGATTTAGAATTTCGTTTTTTAGCAACTGTAATCCCTTCCCTCCTTCTCCTTTTTTGCAAACCATAATTGTATTTTCCGGCCGATAGAGCCGATGAATATATATGATATCTCTTTTGCACAAAGCTTCACATATTGTCTTTCTTGCCTTTATCGATTTATTGCTTACCATTCGGGATTCGGTTCGTTTTATAGGACTTAGCAGTTTTTCTGGCCTCATTTTTGATCATTCTTCATATCATCATTCGGGCTTCAGATAGTTCTGACAATTTACCAGGACTTGGCCCCTCTTTTGTGTCGATAGCCGCTCGGGCTTCAGATAGTTCTGTAGGACTTAGTCGTTTAGTGAACATTTTGTTTCTGATGTTCCATCTATTCCACCTAACTGTTAATAGAAACCCTGTTCGGTTTATCTTGCTGCCCCTATCTTTTGACTCATCCGAATCCTGAATTTTCCCCATCCCGCCGATCTCTATCTGTTGTTCTTCAAATACTACCCGTTCGGTGTCTCTAAAGATACTTGTTTCAAACTTATGGCTTACGTCGACCTTGGTCTGGGATGCCTCCCATACGTTCATCGTTCAATCTTTTTAGGATGGCTTCCCCAAAACTGTTGATCCGTTTTCATGAATTGTCCATTAACCGTTCGGGGAACATGCTAAATTACCATAAATGTACCATAATTTCGTACAACCACATTTCACCACGTGTTCTCCACGGGTTAGGGTTTTGGGCGGCATCTTTGCTTATAAATAGAGGTGCTTCTTCTTAATTTCTTCTGTTGCTTCCTTAATCTCTTCTTGCGTCTCTCTAAGCTTTCTCTCTCTAGAATTCTCAGGATTCCTTAAGTGGTTTTATGTATTTTTCTTCTAGCTCAGAATCTGAGGAAATGCCGCTTATCCGTATGGGAAAAACTCCTGCTGTAAACAAGGCCAAAGGCTCTTCTTCCCAAGTACCTAATTCCATTAAACCTCCCGTACTCAAAGATGCCAAACAGCCTCTTGACGATGGATGCCTTTCGGGAGATGACATAAATATTTATAATAAGGGAATGCCCGAACGGCCACCCCGCATTGCTTTGCATTTCACCCGCATTCGCAAACAAAAGCAACGTCTTCCTGATGACACCGAACGGCAACTTGGCCAACTTCGGCCTCCGCCTAGAAAATTTTATGTCGGATTCATCAGGCACCCTATGAGGCACCGACCGGGGCACGTGCGTGTGCACCTTGATGCATTGATCGCTGGGCTTCACTTCCCTCTACATCCGTTCGTTGTGGAGTTCCTACGTCGGGTCTCTATACTTCCCGCTCAGTTCATACCCAGCACCTACCGCATTCTGTCTGGCTTCATAATCCGATGCCAGTAACTACGGATCACACCAAGTGTCGATTTATTTCTACACCACTACTGCTATCAGCCCTATTGGACTACTGGGTACCTGAAGCTGGTAGCCCGAGCTGACCGTCAATTGTTTACGGATAACCCTACTCCGCCGGTTGATTAGGAGGAACAATTTCTTTTTGTGCGTATAGGTGATTCTCTCCCATTTCCTGATCGGTGGAACGCTTACCCCGTTCAGGACTCTGAGCCCAGAATAGATGACGTTCTGCGCTTTCAAGCCGAGTCTCTACGTATGGGAGGAACTCGGAATCTTCGGGGTTTTATTACCCATTCTAAGATGCTAACCGCTGGGATTGGTAAGTGTAACAGGGTTTTAACCCGATCGATCTCCTTTCAATTTAGTTTCTTATCTCTTATTCCCTCTCTTGTAGGTGTGATATCCCCTATACCCGTTCGGCGTTCCATATCTGCCGCTACTCTGACTGCTTCCTCCGGAAAAGGCAAGGAGAAGATGATTGCTGATCTTGCCTCTTCTGATCAAACCAGGAAGAAGCGTAAAGGGAATGACGACAACATACTGATCCCGGTCGATCACGTGGTTGATTTGACCGGTCCGGATGACAAGCTGAAAAAACCTATCATCCCTGCCCAGCCCCAAACTCCAGTGTTTAACAATGCACCGGTCGATGATCGGATGTTTGTGGAGTTTTCCAATTTGAGGCTCCGAGCAGAGGGAAGGTACCTTTTCATGCAGATGCCATCCTCTATGTGGTGCAGTACCTCCCTGAAGGTTCCACCCAGTTTTTCTACTCTGACCCATTGGTCTGACCTGGTCGAGGCAGGTCACTTGGAGACTCTCAAGGTGCGGATCAGTCATCAACCCCTTTAAAACCTTGATTTTCTTCTGATTTAGTATACGTTATCTAATTTCCTTTTTTACTGTTTGTAGGCCGGAGTATACTATCATCGGGCCTTCCTGTATGCAGAACAGGAGATGAAGCGTATAACCAATGATCGGGAAGATAGCCAGGTTCTCCTTTCCTCCGCTCGGAAGCTGGCTACAGATCTGCAAGTCCGTGTTGATGAAGGTGAACAAGCGAAGGCTGATCTGGCTAAGGTGGAGGAGAGGGCCCAGCGTCGTGATCGAGAAATTAGAGATCTCAGAGCCAAGGTGAGAGTGGCTGAATCCGCTAGGATGCGGTTTGATAAATCAGCGGGGAATAATCCTCCCAAGTCGTATACTGCCAACACCTCCAAGATCACCAGTCAGGCCTTGATCGAATATCAACGTAGAAAAGGATTGGATATCGCTTTACTGAACACCGCTCGGCAATTTTTGGGACCTCATCTGGGCCAATTGTTGCGTGAGAGCGAAGACCCGATCAAGTTGGGAATAGAGCTTCTGGATAGCACGCCCGAAGGGAAATCTTTCTTGGATGTCCTGACGGAGAAAACTGTGAAGCAAAGTCAAGATCTGCTTCTAGACAGGAACCTCGACCTGATCATGGAACGCTTCCCCAAGCCGTTCGATCCTGATGAGTTGGGATTTGATTCCCTCCAAGCCGTTTTGGCCCCTCTATTCGTTTGTGAGCACATGGTCAAAAACTGTTAGCAGAAATGATGGTTCCCTCCAAACTGTTAACACGTTTGTCATTCGGTCATCCAGAATGATTCTTCGTGTTAAAATCTGAGGTGAGACTCTCTCCCTTCCAAACACATAATTCTGATGCATTCCGAAGAGTTTTTTCGATCCGTATAATCCATATTAGGGGTTTGAGGTGACCACTTTAAAACTGTAAGCAAGATCACTAGATCAGGTGATTTCTTACTTAAGCTAAAATGGCAGCTCCCTCCAAACTGTTAACCCGTTCGTCATTCGGTCATCCGGAGTGATTCTATGTGTTAACAAGCTGAGATGAGACTTCCTGAAAGCAGTGCCTCCCCAGACGACAATCCATGTTACCGAACGTCGCTCGTTTTGACAATACTTGTTCTGACACCATATCCAAGCCGTTTTGATCCCTTTTCCGTTCGTGATCACAGGGTCAAAAAAAAAATTTTTAGCTGAGGTGGCGGCTCTCTCCAAACTGTTAACACGGAAGTCATTTATTCATTTGGAGTGACTATACATGTTAAAAGCTGAGGTGAGACTCTCAGGAAGTTATGTCTCCCTCTCATCTTTTTTTAAAGAGGTGGCAACAGCCGTTTTCATTGATAAAATTTCCTTAGATGCTCCACATTCCAAGTCCCTGCCGGTAGGCCTTCGGTAGATTGCAGACCGAACGTTCCTGAAGCATATTTTTTGCAGACCTCGTAAGGGCCTTCCCAATTTTGTGCCATCTTTCCTCCTTCGAGAGGTTTGCTCTTTTCCCGCTTCTTTAGGACCAAGTCTCCTACCTCGATCGATCGGATTTTCATTTGTATGTTGAAGTATCTCTTTGTTGCTCTATGATATTCCTCCATTCGTATTGCAACTAAGTCCTTTCTTTCCTCTATGAAGTGCATTTCGGCCCGTAGATTATCCTCATTGCGTCCGGGGTCATAATGTACCGTTCGATGTGTGGGAACCAGAATTTCTGTTGGAACTTTAGCCTGGAATCCGTAGGTAAGGGCAAACGGAGTCTCTCCAGTAGCCGTTCGGGGTGTCATTTTGTATGTCCACAAGATATAATTCAATTGGTCCGGCCATGAGGAGGAACAGTGCTCTAGTTTTTTCTTCATACCATCTATAATGGTACGGTTCATGTTTTCTACCTAGCCATTCGCCTAAGGGTATGCTACAGATGCTCTGGAATGTTTGATTTTCCATTTGACCAAATAGTTTTTGAAGTTCCTGCTCACGAACTGTCTGCCATTATCTGTGATGATCTGTTTGGGGAGACCGAATCGGCAAATGATATTCTGCGAGACGAACTTTTGGCATTTGAAATATGTAATAATTGCCAGTGGTTCGGCCTCCACCCACTTGGTGAAATAATCTATCCCGATGATGATGTATTTTAGTCCTCCGGGAGCAGTAGGTAGGGGCCCTAGCAAGTCGATCCCCCACCTGGCGAATGGAAGGGCAACTGTCATCGGGGTGTAGAAAGTAGCTGGCCATCCGGGAACCGGTGCATACAATTGGCAGATCTTGCATTTTCTGGTATGAGCAAAGCAGTCTTGTTGGATTGTTGACCAGTAGTATCCTTGCAGGATGATTTTTCTTGCCAATGTTTTAGGCCCTTGATGGCTGGAACATATTCCTTCGTGAATTTCTTGCATTACCGCCGCTGCTAGACCGGGTGGTAGGCACTTCAGATATGGTCCTCCAAATGTCTTTTTGTACAGCTTCCCGTCCACCAGTTCGAACATGGAGGCCCTCCTCTGAATGCACTTCATATTGTATGCTGAATTTTTGTCTTGTGGGAGGGTCCCGTCCTTTAAGTAGTTGGTCATATCCGTGACCCAACTGGGAATGGCATAAGAGATGGCTTCTACCTGGAGGACCATAGTTGCCGGTGTTGTTAGGGTTTCCTGATGAGCAAACCGCTGGATGTGAGCCGGGATCATATGTGCATGGTCATCAAGAGTTGCATTCTCCAATTTGGATAAGATATCTGCTTCCTAATTTTCTATCCTGGAAATTTGGTCGAGCACTACATGTT